AAGTGAATACTCTCAGACAAAGAAGTTGCCAGTCAAGGTCGGAAATAGATATCTGCTAGTCTCAAGCAGGCCCACCTCTTGGGCAAAGTCCAGAAGCCTGGTTCATTCTATTTTCTGGTGGTTTCCACCCCCTTGATAACTGGTTTTGTCCTACCTTGTCAAAAAGACATCTGCTAGATGTGGTTGTCACTAGTGCCTGAACAGCACGCCTCAGTGGCTACTCTGAAAGGAGCTCCAGAGGCAGGAGGAAGTGGGATGGGTCCTCCTGAACTGTAAAGGAAGACAATGTGCCCCACACTGTCTTGTGGTACCCCTCCCCTCCATGCCAGCCAGCATACTGCTGTGCCCAAAGTCTCCCTCGGCTAGGGGGCCCCTGAGCGTTAGCTCTCTGGGGGACGTCATGAGAAGATGCTTGGCTGGTCTCTTCCCTGTTCTTGGTTGCCAGGAAACTGAATCCTGCACCCCCTACCCCACCCCTTGACACACACACAATTATGTGGCCTGTCTCTTCTCTCTGCATTTTGGAAACAAAAGTATTAACTTTAAGCTGTTTTTATATTTATTTTTTTATTTAGCCTTTTCTTAGATTCATTAGGTTGAGCAGTTTGTTGGACAATGCTTATACCCCTGTTCAGAGCCAAATGACTCCAGAGGTTTATGGTGTGGCCCAGATGTTTAATTTGGGTTTTGAAAGCCAGTACTGTTTGGACCCTGTGAATAAGAGGGTAAGTAGAGAAAAAACGTAAATGTGGTTTCCTACTGCAGATAAATTAGACAAGGGAGATGCCATGTGGCAGTGCTACATGCTAAGTTCTGTGGCAGAAGAGACCCTTAATCGAGACAACTGGCTTCTCACCTGTTTGATACCAGCAGCAGAGCCAGTTTCACTAGCAATGGGAGCTCACTATCTTACTAGGGAAAAGTGCACGGTCAAGTTCACATGTGTGCTAGTTGTAAAGGTGAAGGCTCAGGACCGTTGTGAACAACCTCTCTGGGGACCTTAGAGACCAATAGATTCAGCATCCCTGTTTTATAAATGAAACAACTAAGAAGCTACACCAAGAGGCAAAGTAAATGATCTTTAAAAAGTTATGCCATCACAGTTGATGATTTAATATGTCCCTTCATTAACACCTTCGTTCATTCAACTCAGGATATGTTAGTGGATCAAGCCCTGGTCTAGGCACTGCTGAGGATCCAACAGTGAATAAGACAGACTCGGTTCTTACAGTTTAGTAGGGGTAACAGACAAATAAAGATAAGTAAACAAATAATAATCTCCTAGTACAGTAATTACTAGGAAGGAAAAATAAAAGCAGAGTGCTAAGAGATGATATTGAGGATGAAGGAACTCTCCCTAGACAGAAGTGTTGATGGAAAGTCTCCTTGAGAAGTAGGATGGGAAAAAACTCTCCATGTGAATCTCAGAGCAGTCAACGTGCCTGCAAGAGGAAAACATTTTGTACAAAAGCCCTGAGGGAGAAAAAACTTGGAAAGTTCTAGGATCTGGGGGAAAAAACACCATCTGGCTGGTGTGTTTGGAGCGGGCTACATCGGGAGGCAGTAGGGGAAAGACGAAGCAATGGAGCAGAGGTGAGGTCAAGTATAGCCTTGAAGATGATGAATGCTAGTCAGGGTTTTAGTCTAAGGGTAATGATAAACCATCGAATTTTTAACTTGGCTTTTGAATGATTAGTACACTGTTATGGTTCACACATTTAGAAATTTAAGAAGGTGTACGATGTAAAGTATACCTTTTCATACTATTTCTATCCCGTCGACACAGTTCCCACCCTACTGTGCCCTCCATAGATAAACGTTGTCATTAATTTCTTAAGTGTCCTGCACATACAAGAAAACATGCCACACACTTCTCATCTATGGCTCCTAATTTATACACAAAATAGGATGCTATGCACACAGTTCTGTCACTTGCTTTTTATCAGTTAACACGTCTTGGAGATTTTTCTCTGTGAGTGTATATAAATCTTGATTGTATTTTATACATACAGAGCACTCCCCCTTACAGATATGCCATACATGGTTTAACCAGTGGATTTGGGGTTCTTTTTAAGCGTTTGTGGTTACAAGCAATGCCAAAATGAATAAGCATGGGCAAATGTCACTTTGCCATGCGCACGAGTATATCGGAGGGATAGAGTCCTAGGAGGGAAATTTGTGAATCGTCAGGTGTATTGTGTTTGAGGACATCATGGGAAATGGCAGGAGAGGGAGTTCCTAGAATCGATCTTTCCACTGAAGTAACCACAAGGGGCTCAAACTGACAAAATCAACTTTTACAGAACTCTAGAATCTAATAAAAATCTTACAGTAATAGGGGGACAGCATAATGAAGAAACAGGCTGCTACATTTTAGTGAGAAAGTATTGAGGTGCTTTTGCTTAGCCGTCTACCACTCCCCACTCCTCAGTTTAGCGGCAGTGATAGGGAGGGTGGCCTACATTTGTGGTGCAGTTTGGTGATGCCAGAAGATGTGAACAATACAAATTTTGTCCTTTTAAAAATTGTGTATTTTGACCTCTCTGGAAGTTTCTCAAGTGACCATTGCAGAAGTTTGCCTTTATTTCACTTGCCTCAGGCTCGGTAGCATCTTTTGAAAGCATGAAAGATTAATTACCTAGTAGAGTCTGATCTTGGAAGCTAAGCAGAGTCTGGCCTGGTTAGTACTTGGATGGAAGACCATCTAGGAAGATCAGGTGCTGTAGGCGTAAAAAATAAAAATAAGGGAGTATAAGCTGACAAGCTCCTTGCAATCTGTGAGGACAACCAAGGGTTTCCTCGCCTGAAAATAAAAATAATAAAGAAAAATTGCCTAGTAGATTTCAATCATTGAGAGTTGAATCTAAATCAGAAACTAGTTATTGAGGGTCAACTGTGTGTCTGAAATTACGGTAAGTGCTGGACCTTAGTTTCCAGAAATAGCCAAACATGTAGAATGTCCCCATATCAGAAATACTGTTGAAGAGATTCATAGGCTGGGTTGGGCCACTAGATTGAAAATTCCAAAGCAAGGATCCACCTGACTTTTCTACCATTTCCAGGACCCAGTTATGTATCTACCCAACTATAGATCTCTATAGTAGATAATCAATAATTATGAATAGAATGAGTGAAAGTGTTCAAAAACTCTGAATTCATTTGATACCTTCGATTTCCCTACCTCCTGTTCCTCTAAAATGTGATTCCTACATTATTTTGCTTTTCCCTTGAGCTAGAATTTGGCCAAATCAATGATTCTACAGCTCTGAAAGCAGGCAGTGCCTCTGTTAAAGATCTGCTTTCCTGGAATTTCTGCGGGTCACACCCTAACTCCTTGACACACTGCTCTGCAGTATACAGAATGTCTGTGTCCCAGTCGAGGTACCGCGAGCTTCTAGAAGCCTCTGGAAAATTCGATAGTGATTAAAATGTACTCATGGAGTATCCTAGAGCTCTAGCCTAGCACTCCTAGGAGCAGATGAAAACAATTAATGGAATATATACCAAATCTGACCTACCCTAGGGATTAGGTGTTCTCCAAGAAAGTATTCCAGGATGGCTGGTTTGGGATGGCTTCTGTTCACTTTCCAGAGGAGAAGCAGTGTTACTTTATAGTGGTATTTGTTCTGTGAGAGGCAAAGCCTTGCCAAGGAATGATCTCAGAGAGAGAGTTATGCACCTGATTTAAAGAGCACCAAAAATGCAAAATCATCTTTAGTCACCTTATATTTCATCATCCTGATGCTCAGAGCTTTCTTGTATATTTTCTTAAAATTAAAAATATTAAGAGGTGGTCACTGAGCAAGAGTAGGAGCATTTTCTCCCAGAAACTTCATACAACTTTCTATAAATATCATATCAGAATAGCAGAGCCATCCTAAAATTCAAGTGGTCTTATGGAAGGACTTGCTGGAGGCTGAATTTTTTTATTTTACATTTACTATCTCTACAGAAACAATGTTGTGTATACAGAGAAACACTGGGCATCCTTTTCCAGGATCTCTCTGTGGGGTTCCATTGCTGCTTTACAGAATCTTGTTTACATTGGGAGTGTAGTTAGATGGTTGAAACCAGAACTTGTGATGGCTACTTGCTGTTTGAAGAGACTAGACACCTGGAGACTGAAGGCTTGGGCTCTTGCCCTGGCTTCACCACCCCCAGCTCTTAGATCCTGGGTACAGCTCTCTGACCCTCACTCTTTACCATGAACATGATACCACACACCTCATAAAATTATAAAAAGTAACTGATTAGTAATGATGGGCGAACCTTAATAAAGCTGAAATAAAAATCAAAGCCACTCATTCTGTTATTTAAGAATTTTGAATTGAGGGTACACAGTCAGCTTGTGTCATTTGCTCAGGACTCATGATTTTAATCAAATCAGTCTGCACACTATTTTCTCTCCTATACTCTATTTTTCTTCAGATAATAATCATATCTTTTATTTTCCCTCCCCTTAAACTGTGATCACCCAGAATCTGAGAACTATGTTTTCCTCATCTCGATGACTTCTACAGTCTTAGGCACCAATAAGCGTTCTATAAATGCATCCTAAAGTTGAATCTGTCATTGGCCAAGTCATAGACAAGCTAGTGAAAAAGTAGAACCCACATATTCTAAGCCCAGTTCCAGTTCTCTTCCATTCCAGCTTGAAAGTCGACTTTGATTTCAATTTGACCTTGAGTTAGGACATCTCTCCTGTCCCTGGCTCCACACTGGATGTTACAAGCCAGCACTGTATAGCTTGATGTAAAATAAAGGATAATGTCATCCTCATTTGTCCTGGAATCCTGGGAGGTGTCACATCCAGCAGTCCCAACCTCAAAGTCTAAACCCTGCATCAGCGACTCCATCTGGCATTTTGAAATCCGTAAACGTCTCTGTCAACTCAGTCTTGTGCTGGACTACACACACTTTCCACACCACACCAAGTTGCCCCCCTAATCCCACCCACCAAGTTCTCAGAATAGTCATGTAGCAATAATTGTTTAACTCACTGCGTATCAACGGCTGAGATTTAATCATGTCCAGCTGGCAGGAACATGCAGAGAAAGACACAGGACAATAAGGTGCAGGGCAGAAAGACACAAGATCCTACACCAACATCCAGTCCTTATGACTCAAATGCTTAAGCATCAGAAACTCTAACCAGTTTGATCCCTCCCTTCAGAGGTGTAGCGAGGTGCTGGTATGAATCACTTGCAATTTTACAATCTGCAATTTCTAATGGGAATACTATTTGACTTGCCCGAGAGTAATGAGTAACTGTCACCCTTCTCTCCCAGTCATAGCCTTAATGTTTCAGCTTCCTAGACTTTGGTGGCTGGCTAAAGACAGGTCCAAAAATATTTATATGAGGTCCATAGATTTTCTATCTACACTGGGGCCTCTTGATACTAACTGCATTTGGGAAACACTAAGCTAAACCAAATCTAACCACTTTTGCTGCTGCTTTTTAACTGAGGAAAGCCTTCATTATGGCAACATACTTTGCAATTACCCCAGAGGACAGACTGTGTGGTTTATTTGTTCATTAAAACACATTTTTCAGATCCTTTGGATTGGCCACTTCTGTCTTCAAAGCAGTCTCTTCATTTAACCCCCTGTTTTGTATAAATAGGATGATTATTAACTTAGGGGACCATGATGTAAAGTCATGTAGTGAAACACATTGGTTAATGTCATGATGTCAAAAACATAATTATGATGGTACAATTGACTCTAGTCAGATAATCAATTTAAACAGTTTAGCTTTATTTAAAATCAGCAAATGTTCGAGCTCTGACCAGGACTCTGCTTGTTTGAGAATACGGCTTAAGAATCATGCTTCGCTAGGGAATGAAAATAGAAGATCCATAAAGACACTTTAGATACTGAGATAACTAGATTTTAAAAATTGACTCCAACCTCTGGCTACCTGCTTGACCCTGAGCTTTTGAGTCTCTCATTTTTCCCACTTTATAACTCAGAAATAAAGGCGAGAGCCTCCTATACTAGCATCAGTTTGCCACTGAGTGGGAGATTGAGGTCTAACAGGCAAAATATGAAGGAAGTTCAAATTTCAGGGGGAAAAGGAAATGGCTGAAGGGCTCCCTGGTTCTTGTGGCTTGGTTTCTATCAAGGGCTTTAGAACCGGAAGGGCCTAAATCAAAATCTCAACTCTAGATCTGTCCCTGAGCCCTGGTTATCCATTCACTAAACTGAGGTGGTGAAATGAGCAACTCCGATGATAAATGCGGAAAACATTTTGCAAATGGTAAAGTGCTGTGAACATGTGAATTGTTGTATTCTACTGGTCTGCAATCAGAAGACTGGTTTGGGCAAATGGAGACAACCCAAAAGGCAGTATTTCCAGCTCAGGCCTTGCTTCTGGCCCCCTGCCTTTCCCATTTTCATGTTCTCAGATCAGAGCTCAGACTGAGGGGAACGCACCCCAGAGACTGGTGGTTTCCAGTAGAGCACAGCTCCTTGTTCCATGGCGGGATTCCCAGCCTCAGCACAAGTTGGCCCAGACTCTGCCATCCCCCAGATCCACTCCCCCAAATTGCTGTCAGTCCCCATGGGATGGCTTCTTGCAATGTGTTGTTTTGTCTGTCCCCTGTTGCTACAGCAATCCAAAAAAGATTTTTGTTACAAACTCTCTAAAATGGAGACATCTGCATGCAATTTTGAAAATCCTTGTCAGAGTTCTCATTTACTGTTTTGATCAGCTCTCTCTGACATATGAACAGAGTCCCCAGAGCAGTTCAAGAGGAAAAGATCTGTCTAGGCAAACAAGTGCTTCCCAGAAGGGCACCCTACCTCTGAATTTCTGTCCGTCCTGGACTGAAAGCACACAACAAAGTCATGAATGCTCAGAACCTAAATTCATACCCCACTCTGGCCTAGGAGGGAGGGTGGGCAAATCAAAAGGCTGAACCCCCTCAGAGTTCACTTCTGTGAAAGGAGTTGCCACCTACATTTCATGCAAGCACATGTGAGCCCTAAAAATTCTGCCCCTTACACATGCCTCATTTTGAGAAGTGACAGGAGGTGACATTATTTAGTGTTGGACAGCAGGTTCTTGGGTTTTGCTATTCATTCTAATTAACCCTATGACCTTAGGTGTAAGAATCACATCTGGGCTTCCACTGTCTCCTGTGTAAAATGAGTTGATTGTCCACACCTCTTTCAAGTCAAAAATAAGTCTCAGCACAAAGATTAGTTAGGAGAGGGATTCCCACACACCTGCTAACCCTGGGCAGAAGTTTACCATTTTAATCACTGGACTGTTTCAGGGATAATGTTGAAAAGGAATATTTTTCGGCTTCACAATGCAGTGGAAAACTCATCTGGATCTTAAAGTCAGATAGACTTAAGTTCAAGCCCTAGTATGCCACTCCTGGGGAAAGTGAGCCAGGAAAAGTTATGTAAGGCTTCTAGGATATTGACAGCAACTTCATAGATAATTTGTGAGAAGTAGGTAAAGTAATGCATGCAAAGTATCTAGTGTAATGCAATGAACAAAGCAACATTTATGTAATTTCATGTTGCCTCTCCTTTTGTGCAGTCTTTCAACTTTGTTCTCTCAACCTATCCCAAATCCAAGCATAAAGAGACATCTAAAGCTCTAATGCATATCTACACACATGGACTCACATGTGTATATACAGCTGAAAAGAACACACAAACCATTCTCATGCATAGATTCTTGCTTATTAGGATTAAACTTTTAAAACAAAGTTTTATATATATAT